CAGCTATGCTGACTCAGGAATTCTGGGAGTTGAAGTCCATGAGTCATAAAAGAGCCGAGGTTGCCTACCCCTCAGCTTGTTGGAGAACAGCTTGAAGCTAGCTTGCCAGCTGAGTAGAAGATCAGAGAGAGGGAGAGAGGGGGGGGGGAAGAAAGAGAGAGAGAGGGAGAGAGAGGAAAGAGAGAGAAAGAAAGAGAGTGAAGAAGAAGACTGGCAGACCAAGGGCAGAAAGAGAGAGAGGGAGGTAGGGAGAGAGAGGGAGGGAGGGAGAGAGACCCTTTTGACATCTAAAATGAAGATAACACTGCATATATCATTTTTTACACACACACACACACACACACACACACACACACACACACACACACACATATATATATATATATTAAAAATAACACAAAAAACATACATATGACTCCTGGGAGGATCCATAGTACAACAAGAAGTAAAGAACACCAGGAGAAGAAGAGACTCTAAAAATATTTGATGGTAAAAACCAACATGACAAATACTGGTTAAAACCTACAAAATTATTAAAAGAAATCTACGAAAATTAAAAACCTAGCTTTCGTTGGCAAACTGCCAACTTCCTCAGGGCTATAGTTCATACAGGGCGGGAGAAGTTCCCTTGTAGCTGGCCATTGCTCTGCATCCGGCACCAAGCCCTAGTCATCGGGCGTGGCCGGTCAACGAGAGTTTTGCTTTCCTTGCCATTGGTGGTTAGGCTCCTGCTCCTACTCTCAGTCTCGGAGTCAGCCCTCCTCTCATGAACACACTCCTCCGCCGGAGATGCTTTTCCCCGGAGAACTGATCCTGCGATTACTTCCGAACTGGAGGGCAGTGGAGGGTATGGCTGGCTTATGGGGTGGAAACACCCTTTACCCCAGGCTGCACAAGTGGGAGGGGGGTGCCACCGTTAGTTTTTCACTCCAGGAAGGCTCATGGAATCATAGACGCCTGCGCCAGTCTCCACGGGGTGTGCGTCGTGCTTACAAGCGGGGCATCCACCCCTCTCCACTCTGCTCCGCTCAGCATCTCTACACGCGGGAGAGGCAGCGAGGCCACGCAACCGTCTGTTCTCGGAAGACGTCTCACGGTCCCCAACCACCTCAAGCGTCTCTCGCTCTCCTCCATCCACTGCAAGCCGGAGACCGCAACCAAGCCATCCAGATGCATCAGAAACCCCACAATCATCCCTCGCAGCCTCAAGCGCAGCCCGCGTCGCGGAGCGGGTCCAAGCTCCCCGTCTACAGGGGGGTGCCATCGCTCCGTGATGGGTTGTCCCTTGCCGACGGTGTGCCGGCGTCCATGAAGCACTAAGGGGGGTGGTGGTGGACGGAGGGGGGTCTAGGGGCGCATTGCCCATACCGACATGAATCGCCAACAGACCCACACTATCGGCTAAGTCATCGTAGTTGCCGGGTAGGGCACCTTGGTCACAGAAGAATGCTCCATTATGCAATCCAACGTTGTTAACAGGTTTGTCTCAACTAGGTGGATCAGGAGGTTGCAAGCCTGATCTTCTACTCAGCTGTGCGAACGAAGAACGGCTATTTCTATCCCTTTGCCGTGCGTCCATGTCTTTCCCTGCACGAATGGAGACACGCCACGCCGCAGTCAATTCCTCTGCGCTTCGTGCCTTACTCTTCTCATTGGCCCTCCCCAAGGTTTGACAACCAGCTGTTTTAACGTTAGTATGCTGGTCCGGGCCAGATTCAATACGGCCACTGCACCCACGCACCTGTACCAAGTTCTTTACGTCCATGGGGTCACGCTCCTCTCCTTGGTTAGGTCTGGCCGGAGAGCAAGGTCTTTTGAGTTCTTCGGTAGCAGCGGTTCGTGGGGGGGAAGAAGAGAGGAGGGCTGGCATGGCGTTGTTCATACTAATCTGTTGCTTTTTTGTGCGGGATCTAGTTGTCATGTGATGACCGTCCCTTTTATCCAGGAGGGCTTTTACAGGGAGATGATGTGTCGCATTGGGGTGGTGATCTAGATGGTGGGGGTGTGGCAGCTCCTCCTCCGCCGGGTGTTGCGGTGCGACCGTTGCCTGATGGTCTTTGATGGATTGGAGTTGTTGTGCTCTCTTATGTGAGGCACGGTTGTTATACCATGTTCTCAGGGTTTGTTGGACCGGACATATGTCAATGTGTCTGTTGACAGATTCCTCTCCCGTATACCATGCTTCTTTTAGAAGCCTGCCCCTTTTGGTGGTGTCATTGGCCAGGACTTGGATCTGTTTCCAGTCAAATTGGTGGCCACTCTCTGCCATATGTGACCAGACCTGCGAATGCTGCTCACCCCGCTTTATGGCCAGCTTATGCTCGTGTATTCTAGTGCCCAGTCTTTTAGCTGTTTCGCCCACGTAGTTGCGTGGGCAATCCATGCATTGGATCTGGTACACTACAGCTGACCTTTCCATGCTGGGGAGCTGGTCCTTTGGACGCATTAGTTTGGCACGCAAGGTCTGGTCAGGTTTGTGGGCCACCTTGATGTTATATGGGGCAAGTAACCTGGCCGTGGCTTCAGAAACATTGTGAATATACGGGAGGGTGACCCGTGTGGATCTTGCCTATATATTCGTAGATTTTCACGGGTACAGGTATGCAGGTCTTGGTGTATTCGGGTCTTTTCCCCTGTAAGATTGAGAGTATCTTGGCGACGTTTCAACGAGGTCCCACATCCCAGGATGTAATCACACAATCCATTACCCAGGTCGTTATAACACAAAAGACTAATGGGCACACATCCAGCACCTCAACTACTCAGGATGTTACGAAACAGCTGAACAATCAGCAAACAATAACAGCCAACCAATCCACACAGCCAACCAATCCACCTACAGCAACTAAGCCAGCACTCCACACACCCCCACCAATATTTATAGAGAGATGGCAGCTCCGATCACACTTTGCTCGCACAAGCACGAAGCCGAAGACCCCAGCCTGAAGATGACGAGTGGGACCTCGTCGAAACGTCGCCAAGATACTCTCAATCTTACATGGGAAAAGACCCGAATACGCCAAGACCTGCATAAATATAATATAATATAATAGTATAGTATAGTATAGTATAGTATAGTATAGTATAGTATAGTATAGTATAGTATAGTATAGTATAGTATAGTATAGTATAGTATAGTATAGTATAGTATAGTATAGTATAGTATAGTATAATATAAAGGTAAAAAAGGATATATGCAGTGTTATCTTCATTTTAGATATCAAAACGGTTTTGCGGCTCTCAGTGTTTTGTTTTCAGTGGGAAACGGGTCCAAGTGGCTCTTTGAGTGTTTTGGGTTGCCTACCCCTGGGATAGAAGATGAGGGAACCCTGTATTACAATGACAGTTCTTCGAACTTCATTTTATTGCCAGCAGAACAGGACTTCCTAAAACAAAGACAGCCTTAGAACTGCCAGTTTCTAAATATTTCTGTTCCCTTGGTAGCCAGATTAGCATAAAATACATAATATACAGCATATAATACAACAATTTCTTTCCCATTATGGCCAACAATAGAGGATATTTAACATCAAAAACAATTAAAACAACTGCTAAGAAAAGTAGCTTTTCACTGGTACAAGTTAGCAGGATTTTATATGAAGGTGTAGAGCTCCTGTTTGTGCTGCCCTTCAAAGTCTTGCACACTGAATTTTAATTTATGAATAATACAAATGGGCCATATTATCCATACTTTGTAAAGCCAATAAAGAAAATAGATATATCTGAGAAGACCCAAGTCAAAATCCCCAATATATTCAGTCCAGCCGTCCCAGCACCCCTGCAGTCATGTAATCACAATCGGGGCACTTGGCAACCAACTTGCATTTACAATGGTTGTAGTATCCTGTGGACACATGATCACCATTTGCGACCTTTCTGGCAGGCTTCCCACAAGCAAGTCAATGGGGAGGGTGGCAAGGAAGGTTGCAAGTTGCTCCTGCCACCTCTTTTTTTCCTGAGGAGCTTGAAGTCAACAGTATGAGATCCCAGGGACCTTGTACTACATAGTTTGCACATGCCTACAGCATGCCCAGCCATGTTTATGACAGGCTGCAGCAATAACTCCTCCTTGCCCAGCCATACTCATTAACTGTGTATCCTACTGCACTCATAGCAGCCAACTCTGCATATGGCCACACTCCTGCTGCATCTTGGCAGCCACTCCTTGCCTTTCCATTGGTATCTGTTGCCCTGTTTGCAAGATGCCAGAAACTTACTCCTTCCTGCCAGCTTCTTCATTGACTTTGCTTGTGGAAGCTGTCAAGAAGTTACAAATCACAGTCATGTGAGGTCTTTGCTTAATGACCTTGCTTAACAACAGCAATGGGGGCTGTCTGGATTGCTTTTGCTAAGCAATGGGATACATGATGTCATTCTTTATGACTGCGTCACTTAGTGATGGAAATTCTAATCCCAATTATGGGCTTTAAGTAAGGACTATGTATAATAAATGCCTTAAGTGAAGAATCTCCATTAGTCATTAGCTACAAATTTACCAAATGTTATGTCTCATATGCCAATTCAAGTTTCATACTGATTTATAAATTGCTGTTCAATTATTTCACCAGTATATAATAAACCTAACTTAAATTTTAGAAAACTTTGTTATAAACAATGAGAACCTTGTTTAGATTACAATAGTAATTTGCACATTATTGGAAATAATTGTCACTGAACAGAGTAGATGTTTCTTCATATCAATATATGTGGGATCAGTCAGTACATTTAGGCTTAATTTTTTGTTCATCTTTTTTAAAAGGAAAAAGCATGTTAAGTATCTTTAAAATTTCAGTTAAGTGCAGTTCTTTGTACATTTTATAACTTTAGTAACAATGGCTAGTGCTCAGTAGAAATAAGGATACTTAAAATATACATGGGTATGTGAAAAATGTTACTCATTCATAAATTTATAAATAGGCTATTATTAATCTATATTTACATCAGTCAACAGAATGTTTACATAATACATGTAATATGCTATTTTAATTTTTTTTCTAAAGAATTGAAAGAGTGATGGATAACAATACAACAGTAAAAATGGTTCCAATCAAGATTGTACATTCTGAGAGCCATTCAGAGAAGGCAAGCAGGCAGAATCTTGGCACTAGAATAGAGCCTCCTACTTTACGAAGCGGCTTTAAAAAAGACCAAATCAAGACACTTAGCACTCCTGAACAGTCCTATTCACGTTTTTGTGCCTATACAAGACAAGGTGTGGAAACTGACCTTGAGAACAAATCAAGCCTGTCTTCTTTGCAATCTGTTGAAAGCTTTGGGAGGAACATAAAGGAAAATGACATATTCACCCAAGCAGTTATTTGTGTGAGAGCCAAAGAAAGGACAATTGAGGACTGGAAATCAGAAGAATTAGCTAGAGAAATAGTGGATAAGGATAAATCATTAGCAGAAATTTTGGACCCAAATGTGAAAATAAAAACCACAATGGATTTAATGGAGGGAATCTTTCCCAAAGATGAATATTTCTTAGAAGAAGATCAACATCACAGAAAATTTCTTTTAAAGGTTTCAGTACCCAAAACTGAAGAGGAAAAGTAAGTACATATTTGTCCAACACAAATTAATGCTTTTATCTTTTTTTTTTAAAAAATAAATTTTTATTGATTTTTCATTGAAAAACAAAAACATAAATCTTTTATCACAATATCAACCAAAGAAAAAAAAATCAACACCAATCAATACATTCACGGACGTGTCCGGTGTCCCCCTCCCGCACCACCCTCTCACTTACCTACACCTTCCTCCTCCCTATCCTACCACCACTCCTCCTTCCTCCCTCTTACCTANTTCTCAATAAGTCTTTGTTTTTGTTTCTTACGTAATTGATACGCTAACCATCTTCCAGGTTTATTTGCATTGCAAAATGTATTATGTTTCATATATTTCAGATTGATAGCAAGTTGGTCAGAGAGCAACATATTATACTGTTCTTTCAGCATTACAATAGATGCCTTTAAACTCTTATCCATTGGATTTAGGGAGAAAGTTTTTTCTTTTATTTTTATCTCTTGCTCAATATCTTTATAGTTTTGCTGCTGTTTTCGCTTATAAGCAGAGTTCATTGAAATTAAGGCACCCCTCATAACAGCTTTGCTTGCATCCCAGACCATCGATATAGGAGTGCCTTTATTCATGTTCAACGCGAAAAATTCTTTTAAGTAATCCTTTAATTTCTGCACATTTGTTTCATAATTCAATAAGTTCTCATTCAATCTCCAAGTCCTTCTACTAGTTCCCTCAGTTAAAATCTCCATCCAAACAGGACTATGATCCGACAAAATCTTAGGAAAAATCTTTACCTTCTTAATCCTAGGCATCAAATCAGTAGTGATCAAAATAAAATCAATTCTAGAATAAGATTGATGCCTATCCGAAAAAAAAGTGAAATCACTTTCTCCCATATTCCTTTCACGCCATATGTCTCTTAGCTCAAAATCTTCCTGTAAAGCAAAACAACTTTTAGGCAATTTAATTTGTGTTGAAGTTTTAGCTGAAGTCTTTTTATCTCTTTTTGGGTCTATTACACCATTCCAGTCTCCCATCATAATAACCGATTTATAATCCAATTGCATTATCTTTTGATGCAAAACAGTAAAGAATTGCTTTTGTTGTTGATATAAGTTTGGTGCATATAATCCCACAAGAAGACATTTTTTTCCATTCAAAATGATTTCCACAAATACAAATCTTCCTTCTGCATCAGTATCTATTAATTTTGGTATCAGTTCCTTCTTGATATAAAGAACTACACCCGCTTTTTTCTTTTGAGAGGAGGCCGCAAAATGTACACCCAGTTTAGGATTAAATAAGTACTTTTGATCTTTTAATGTAATATGTGTTTCTTGTAGACATATAATATCATTCTTATGCTGCTTCAAATAATAAAATATTTTTCTCCTTTTTTGTGGTGAGTTCAGTCCATTAACATTTAAGGTTATTAACTTAATCATCCTTTGGTTTTTGGAGCTTCTGAATCAACCCTTGAAGATCCATTGTAACAGATCTTTTAGGCCTGGCTCCTCCCACTGGCTCCGAAGTAGTTGCAGATGTTTGGGGCATAGCCTCTTTCTGTTGCTCTCTTTCCTTACGCTTATGAGCCGCACGTGTCATTCTTTGGTCTTTTGGATCCTGTTTTGCCTCCAACACTTGTAAATTCTGAAAATCTCCTGCAGATAGCGACATAGCTCCAGGTAATTCCACAATCAATTGTTCCACTCCTTCTTCTACTCCTTTAGCTGGTGATGTAGAAGGTGAATCAGCTTTCAACACCGTTGAGTAAAAATTCTTTGCTTTCTGTACTGTATTAAATCTATAGCGATTGCCAGCAAACATAAAGACCAATCCAACTGGTATTTCCCATCTAAAGGGTATTTGCTGCTTCTTCAACTCTTGAGTCAGAAATGCAAACTCCTTTCTTTTTTTAAAAATCTTTGAAGGTATTTCTTTCAAAAGTATAATATCCTGGGCAGCAATCTGAAACTTCTGCTGGTAAAAGGCCTGTATAATT